ACAAAAAGTTTGGCAGCACAAATAATGTCTAGTATTCAAATCTTCATTTGTGAGTATAGTATTTTCCTTGTACAAAACCTGTTGAATGTTTTTCGCAGCAGATGAACTGTACCCAAAGATGCAGGACATTCTGTGATGGGGAATAAGAGGTTGCAGTTCCGAAGGCCCCTGACTTTGGTTGTTTACAAAGTTCATTCCTGTTTAGTGTGATCCTTGGTATCTTCCTCATCTGTGTATTCTGATGGTTCTTCCCCTGGTTTTAGGAGTCTACCTACGTAGTCATATTTTTCTGAAAAAGATTTATGATTCCATTACAATCAAATACAGCTGCATTTGCTAGTTAGCCCACACTGCTGCAAATTCACTAAGGTTCTAAGGGTGAATCACTGAAGTTGATGGCAATTCATCAGCAAACTCACCCTCCTAAAGCTGTCTTGCTACCCTTGCTGCTCACCGCTATTCCGACTACTTTGTTTCTATTCGCTCGCTGCTCATGAGGCAAGCTCTGTCACAGAACAGCTGAAAACACTGCTATTAAAACCAGCACCAATTCCCTCTTTTAATTTCAATTCATGTCCAAAATGACTCCCCCTCCCTCCAGAGGCATGCTTCCATACTTTTAAGAAATTATTTCACGACAAACTTGTTCAACCCTTTATGCTGAAACAACTCTTGGTCTTAATCATGCCATGGCATACAAAGGCAACAACCTGCAGGCAGGAATTCCATCAGCTAAGCCACACTGAGATTCTCAAGTGAGATTCTGCACTGAAGAGCTGAGAACAACTTTCTTGTATAAAATGAAAAAGACTGAAAAAGCCGTAGTGGGATATCATGGAACCGCCTCTATGGAGAGAAGGCCCCAAATCCCATCTTTTCCTAAGAAAGTTACGTTGCCATATTGTTACTGTCAACATCTCTTTAAAAGCTGCCCGAGCCCCAATCCATCATTTTTATTCAAAGCATTTCCTTAAGCTAAAGATGTGCTGCTAATTCGAGTATTTACCTTTAAATTGCATTTCCCACTCTCTTACACTTTCCATCTGTACAGCATTTAAGTCCGATAGGTCATCATATTCATCTCTGAGTGCATCTTTATCTAGACAGAAAGTTGCTAGTCCCCTGGAGGCATCTCTGCCAGCAAATATTCCATATGGACCCTCTGAAAACAAAAAGACAAAATTGATACCTTCAACTCTTGGTTTATGGTGACTAGTCTCAGTTCTTTAAATAGTCTGCCAAAGCCATACATTAAACTTGTGCAGTGATGGGGACAGCAGCCATTTCAACACCGTGGCTGTTCAACGTCCAACAGCACCGCAATTCAATCTTAAGTATCCCTTGGAGATAAAGGCTGCTGAGAGCAGCAGAACCTCAAAAATAGCTTTGAAGGGATAGCTAGAAAAATCCCTGTCATTTGATCAAGTCAGTTGATGTAAATTCCAAAGGGACTGGAGGCTGGAATTCAAAACAAATGCACTTCTATTAAGCAAAATAGAGTAGTTACAAATCAGGCATGAATAGAAGCAAACTGTATAGACATCTCATTTAAAAATCCATGGAATTTTATCAACAAATAGAACTTCAGAGTGCCAAGTATTCATTTCACTTCACTTACAGAACCACCACAACTTTCTACATGGGACAGACAAAGGTGTCTTTTGAAACATTTCTTATTTCTGTGGAAATAACCTCATTTATTTGGGGCAGCAGATCACTCATACACGCATCCTTGTAAGGTTCTTGAAAACTGCACAAATCTTCGTTTTAAGAAAGTAAAGCATCTACTTCCTTTGTGCTTTTGTAATGATGCAGAGCAGCACAAAGTTTTGAGCGATGGCTGCCAAATAAATATTACTAAGAGAAATGTTTGCAAAACAACAAGACAAGATTAGCAATTAATCTAAAGACAAGCATATTGTTATCTTGGACGTTGTTGACCTAATCACAGATACTTTAATTCAGCTCAATTAAAGAAAAAAAACACATCAAAATAAACCAAAAAGAATGCTTTAACGTTTTCTGCACTACCTGCAGCAGCTAAGCAACAGGGAAACGCCTGAGGCCTTCTAAAGAGAGGGCACTACTTGATAAATAGGCCAGAACCCTTCTCTGGCTTACCTCTTAGAAGATGACAGTGGCCGTTTGCCTGAAGAAAAGGCAGCACCCATGGGCAAGAATGAACACAAGTAAGTGGGCACACACTGTCCTTCACCCCCTCTATTGCCTGCGGTTGGACCTCAGACCTCTTCTGCACCAGGACGAGCCACAGGAAATCAGGGGGGAGCCACAGGAAATCATTCAGAGAGGCTGGTTTCCTCCCAGGCCGCTTGCTCCAGCCACCACACCTATCTGCTCTTGCCGGGCATTGACTTCAGGGTTGCGACAAAGGCTGAATGGAGCAGGAAGAACTCCTGAGGCAGGGAACCCGCGTACCGTACCGATTAGAAGAAACCACGTCCTCACCAGAACTGGTGCCGTCTCTCCACCCCAGAGTGCTTGGCAGTGTAAGTTAGTTACAGTCAAACCTGAGAACAGAAGGGTGTCTTGTGTGGCAGAGACAATCCCATTGCCTCTCTGGAAATAAACCAGCTGATTTAAAACAAAAATGTCACAGGACATAGACATCAGCAAAAAACCTATCAACTGGAAGCTTGCTCTGTACGAATCTGGCCATAACAGACAACCATAATGCTTAACAGCATCCCTACGCTCGTCCTTTCCGATATTTAGCGCCAGGAACAGTGTTCACAATGACTACCTCTGGGATGAGGGACTACATTTATGCTACTTAAAGGAAACAAAGTCAAGAGGGCTTGTGAACTCTGTCTTTCCTGCGTGCATTCTGAATTAGACGTTTATTTGAAAAACAGGATTCAGAGACTAAAATCAATCCTACACCAAGATGTTTAACCGATGCTTTTTGCATACTCAGTCATTTCCCATAAAACAGGGTGAGACATAGCAATGGCCATCATGTGCAACATAACATGGGGCTTCTTCAAAAACTCTCTTCCTTCACTCCAAAATAGCTTTCATGCAAGTGATCCAGTTTTTGAGGTTTGGGATGAAGAACACAGGAGTTCCAAAAAGCTCTTTCCAAGACCACAGACGATCAGTACATCATTAAGAGTGATTATAAGCTGCTACATAACCTCCCCACCAACAGTATTTTGTCCTGTTTTTCCTCTCCTTGAAGTGTTTAAAACAACTATTTGCATAAACCCTAGTAGCTATATCCATACTGCGTTTTCAACATTCTGGCTAACCAGATTTACAGGAGCACACTGTTTGCCTTCCCTTCTACCCTGCATTCAGTGCTTTGTGGAGTTCTGAAGCAGCTGCTGAGATGCCACCAGCTTGATTCCAATTACTTCTATTAAAAGGAAAATTACGTGGTCAGTATCAAGCTCTGAACACCCTTACATCTCAATAATACACTGAGCTGAAAGTATGAATGCTTTTAGAATATACCAGTTTGCATTAAAATTAATGGATGCAAAATTTCTGCAAATACATTGTAACATCTGGTTCTACTTTACCAATTTTTTTCCTTTTCTAAAATGGAATTTAAATGTTAACATTCCAGCATGTTTACTACAGAAATACCCAGGAGTCACAGAGAAACCATCAAGCGAGGTCCAAGCACTCAAAAGAATGCTGACTAGTAAAAACCCGCCTTTGGACTTGGTAGACAGCATCTCAAACTCCTGTTCTGCAAATGTAACTTGTGCCATTCTTTAATCCTTTACTAAAATATTGAGTTATAATTATTTTTTAAAAAGTGCAAGCCTGGCTTCACCTTAGTTGCAGCATTGCTAAAGCAGAAGTTCAGAGATCTCTTCTACTTCAGACATCTCCACGTACTTCAAGATTTAAAACTTCTATTCAGATACTTTTACAAGGAGATTAGAATGCATTTTACATTAATTTAGAATCAACAGGTCTGGGATTTTGCTATAAGCCCTAGACTATTATTCCTTTTTACTTAAATATTAGTCTTAAAAAGTTATTTTGCATATCAGACTTCGTTGTGCTTGGACTGCAGGGAGGTGCCAGCATAGAAAAGCCTGGGGAGAAAATCTGCTTCAAGAACATGCTGGTGAGGTAGAGAGGTTAGTGCAATCCTAGACATACTCCCACAGAGTTCTTTTGTGACCTGACGCAATTGACTCTGTAAGCCCTGCCCACAGTCCGTCTTTTCTTTCCTTTTGTCTGTATAGCTATTTAGACCCGCTCCTCTTCTAAATAATTGATTGCACCATGACATGAAGAGATTGCAGAAAGAGGTAACTCTTAGCACAGGCACGTATATACCAAAGTTGTTACAAGCTTTCAGTGGTTCTCTTTTGCTGTATCCCCAAACTAGCTATTTCACAGTCAAAAAATTCTTAGAAAAATTCTCCTCCCACTCCTAATTTGGCATCTCAGAAGAAAAGGAAAGTCAGGGAAGTGTCACCTGCTACATGTTACATGGCTGCATGTAGCTATGAGCCTGTAAGGAAGGAAAACTTTGTTCCCTGAAGAACACTCTTCTTCCCATCATTGGTTTCACATATTAAAACTCTTTCTTTTAGAGCCTTTGATTGTTTCAGCACTGCAACCAGTTACCACGACTGTGTATTTGCCTATGTACTTCCACATCTGTACCACATTTTTGTGCTACTTTTCCTTTGTATAAAGTCCTCATTTACCTTACAACTCTACTCTCTATAAAGTATGTCCTTCTCTAAGCTACAGCACATGCAAAATATTGCTACCTACCACCTGCAGATGCTCACCATCTTTGAGAATTCAGTTCAAAATCTGTCAGCCTTGATAAATTTGACATTCATGTTTATTCACAAATGAACCGGGTAGTTTGAGAATTAGCAAAATCAAAGTCTCTTCAGCCTGTAAAAATACCTTTCCAGTGCCTGCACTCAGGATTTTTGCATCTCCTGGTTTTGTTTCTCAAACGAAGATTTCTCTTTGCAGACCCCTAAAACAACTGCAGGTGAACAAAAAGAAATTTAACATTAAAGCACTGTATTTAAAAATCTGAGACATGAAGCTGTCCAAGCTGAAGTTTTTATTTGGAAGCACTGCTTCTAGTCACTTGCTCCAAAATAGCTTAAACTGCATCTTGGAGCCACATGTTTCCGTTTTCAAGCAGTTTAGCCAATACTTCCCCCAGCAAAACCTGTGCTGGTGTTCATTTTTGTAATCTTTTTTACAAAATTTACCCCAACTGCTGTCTGACCATTTCAGTTCTATACTGGCTTTGCAGAACATCCCAGACTATTGCTCCAAGACTAGTAACGAAAGTGAACACCATACAGTGAACTTTGGATAGCTCCAACTGTCAGCACAGAGATCGCCATGTGGACTTTATATCTAATGAGGTGATTTGTAAATCTACGAATTGTATTAATTCTCACAAGGCCCATACAAAATGTCTGAAGATTAGACGAGCTTTCATTTCTTCAAGTAGTCATAAAACACTTCCAACCAATCATGAAATAGGAGAAGCACGCAGATGTTCTTTGCATCTGTGGGCTCCATGCAGGCACTGGCAATAAAACGCAGTTTTGTCTGAAGCTTAGAAACTAATGGACAACATTTCTTAAACTGCAGACAAGACTAATCTCTCCTTTAATATAAGTTACAAGAGCAAAGGGAGACAGATCACGGAATTGTTGACAACTGCTCTATTCCACCTTTTCTACTCCAAAGCGTTATCTCCACTGCTGTGTTTAAAATTTTCCTTCTGAATCCTGACGTGTTTGCTCAGTGTTGCATCTTTCATGAGGGAATGAAAAAGCTACAAATTAGACAAAGCCATTCTGAGATACAGCTTGAAAGCAGAAGCTTTCTAATAACACGTATCACTGGGAATTCAAGGTGACATAATTTTAACTTTCCTGCTCTAGATTTACGTGAAATGAAAGATGTGGGTCAGTTTTAAGTTACAGCTTGCATGGAAAGTAAGTGTTAGGAGAGCAATTCACAAAGTCTACGTGCTAAGGCGGGAACTGCTTAGAAAGAGGAGTCTAAACCTGAGAGAGGCCCGACTTTCTCGTTCGCTTGCTTGCTTTTAATTCTCAAAAAAAGCACAAGAGTCAGAGACCTGCTGCAGCTGTAGGGGCAGACAGTGAGCACTGCTAGGAGAGCCTGGAGTTC